AGCTTGTCAGAATAGTGTTTTCAGTTTCAAATTGGTTGCTTTATGTTTTCCTGTTAATCCGCTGTTTTAATTAAAATAATTTGGCCCAAACATGTAGGGATTTTAAAACAACTATGTAATGTCTGTTGATGAAAACCGATTGTGGTAAACTCTAATATCCATCAAAGTTCATTTTTATTTTGAGGCTTTAAAGTATTGTAAGTACTTTTGAAAGTTTTCTAAACCAGTCACAGTGTCATTCAGTCTTTACCCACAGAACTCAAATAAATGTAAATTGAATAATTTCCATGCGTTTCTCAGCTAGCCTTGTTTTTTTTTTAAATGCTGTGTGGGTGCGTCTCACTTGGTTGTGTTTGCTGAGATTGACCTCCCACATTTCTCCATTTTTCCATCATTTCACGCGGTCCTGCTGGAGGGCTAAGGTTGATCGAAGCAAAGGTCTATCTCTCTGTGATGATGACCGGTAGCCTGGCAGCGAGAACCTGGCAGGTTGTTGATTGAACATATTACAATGGTGACCTGTGGGACTATAGGGAGCCCACCTCTATGTTGCTAGCTCACTTTATCATTGGTGTTGAGTGGGAGGGAAGAGAGAAGATGAAAGTGTTAGTTTTGGGGGGGGGGGGGGGGGGGGGAACTTGGGTGTATAGTTTCTTCTCTACAATGATTTTTTGCTTGTAATATTAAAAGTGATGTACGGGTCTAATGATGCTGCTGGTTCCGAACTGCAGACACATTTACAAAGACACAGGGTTAGGTACTGTCAAACAAAACTTATTAGAATTAAATCCAGCAAGCTTAGTCTCTTTAGAGGCAAATGTAATTCAATCAGAACTATATCATCTGCAATGGCATGTGCTCTTCTTATTTAAAATGAAAGGACACAACACAAGGACATGATTTTTGCTCCCAATAAAAAAAAGCATCAGTATGTTGTTGTTTGAAGTATGTTTTAATTGAATTTTGGTTTGAAGGGAACAGTGTGTTTGATTGAATGTGGCCCTTAACTCTTTGTTAGGCCATATGTTATTCTTTTTATAATGAAAGAACTCATGTTAGCCCAATGTCTTTTTACCACTCACTCTCAGGTACATGGCGATAGTCCACCCCTTGAGACCACGGATGAAGTACCAGACGGCGTACTGCCTGATCATGGGCGTGTGGATCATCCCGGTCCTCATCTCCATCCCGTCGGCCTACTTCGCCTCCGAGACCATGTACCCCCACGGCCCCACCCACAGCAAGATCTTCTGTGCCCAGATCTGGCCGGTGGACCAGCAGCTCTTCTACCGATCCTACTTCCTGTTCATCTTCGCGGTGGAGTTCGTGGGGCCCGTGATCACCATGACCCTCTGCTACGCCCGGATTTCGCGGGAGCTATGGTTCAAGAGCGTCCCAGGTTTCCAGACGGAGCAGATCAGGAAGAGGCTCCGCTGTCGCAGGAAGACGGTGATGGTACTCATCGGCATACTGACAGCCTACATCCTGTGCTGGGCGCCGTACTACGGCTTCACCATCCTGCGCGACTTCTACCCAACCCTCATCTCCCGCCAGAGGAACTCGCTGGTGGCCTTCTACATCATCGAGTGCATCGCCATGAGCAACAGCATGATCAACACTCTCTGCTTTGTCAGCGTCAAGAACAACACCGTCAAGCACCTGCGCAAGATCGTCCTGCTCCGCTGGAGGTCCAGCTACGCCCCGGGAAAAACACCCGACGAGATGGACGTGCGGACGTCCTCCCTGCGGGTGACAGAGGAGGTAGACTGCGTGCGACTGCGATAGTGAGATATAGCACGTGGGCGCCTCCTCCCTTTTTAGTGCAAAGGACAGTACGTTCCCATCAGCAAGCTAATAGGCGATTGGTGGGAACTACTTCCTGTGGGTGGAACATGCATATCCATGGCAACTCTGACATTGGACCAAGCAGTAGTGCACACACACAGTGATAGGACCTTACATGTTTTGAATGTGGGGGGGAGGGGGGGTTGGAGTGGCATTGTAAGGAGGTATACTTCTGTTATGCGATTAGAGACCAAGCAAGATGAAGGTACAGGATATTTTGATGGATCTTATACATCTTTTTTAAATAAAGAAATAAAATGTGAAAAATGTATCAAAAATTAATGGAAAAATTGTGGAAAAAAGGAAGAAACCATCTAGCCTGCACTACTTTAATCCTAGCCAGCAGTAGGAACAAAGAAGCCCAAAAAAAAGCATTCAAAAAGAACACACTTTGAACGGTTTTTGAAAAGATAATGTTTCACCTCTGGGGCTGCAGACAGGGATGGACTTCTGGACTGTGTCCTCAGGAGGGGAAGCTCGGGTTTACCCAGGAGAATCCCCGACAGGGACACGTCCAAACAGCACCAACATGCACCGCCTGCATACAACCGAATCCCCGAGCCAGTAATCCCACAGACAGCATCATTTTACATAACGGTCATGTGGCAAGGTCTTGTCCATCGGTATTTGTGCCATTTGAATGTGCAAAAGCTGCGGCTGTTTTTATCGTTCTGCTCGTGAACTGCCTACCTGAATGGTGTGTTAAAATAAGTATTTTTTCATTTGTTTTGTGAAGGTGGAAACCGTGCATAACCATTTGTATTTTAAACACTTTTAATAATGCTATTTTGAGGAAGTATGCTGTCCAGCATTCTCTGAATAAAAGTGTAGTATTGTACATTGAAAAGCTATTGAGTATTTGCTTTTGTCGATAAGGGTTGTTCCAAAAGCTAAAAATGGCCAACAATATGGTTACTGATGCTTCTGCACATACTTACATTTCATTCAATAAATTTAAATCTTATTTGTGGAAGAAAATGCTTGTTTATGATTTCCCACATAAAGCTACAGTATTACTGTGCTGAGCCTAAAGAGATGGTAGGGTCTGAAGTCTGTTCTTTTTTAATGTGGCGTGGGCAGAAAATTGTAGATGTGTTTGGAAATTTGAGTGGCAGGTATTGAAGAGCTGTAGCTCAGTGCTATCCCTGTTTGAATGTTAAGATGGGAGAATATAGTGGTGTGTGCCATGGGCTGTTTCACAAAAGAGATAATTAGACTGCAGGGAGGTTGGCTCAGAAGATCAGATGACAAAACATTAAGATACATTTAGAACAGTTTGCTTCTCTAAGATAAATGCTTATTTCTGGTTGAGTGTATGCGAATCAGAGGCTTAAACAGCAGGTTAAATGAGTAGTTGGTGAAAGTTTATAGAGCAAATAAAAACAGTAACTCTGATTTCTCCACCCTTTCGCTTTTTTACAAGTTTTCCATACTTATTTTCTTCATCCTAATTTTCTTGAAATCCTGTTGTAGCTTAATTCCTGATGTCAGTTATAATGGCTTAAAATTTTTTCCAACTAATTAACCAATATTAGTTCTGCAGGTCCCTCTCTGTCATGGATTTAATGGTATCCGAGTAAAATAATCCTCAATCAAGTAGAAATCCTTTCTCAACAAGAGGTGCCAGAATATCTTTCACTGTGTGAATACTTCTGAAGCTCTGCTGAGCTCAGGAGGAAATTTTCACAATAACATTTGTCAGCTTCAAAGGATAATCACGACACCAAGCCAAAGTTCTGATGTGGCGTGCATCAAAGTGAGGAGTAAAGAAGCTGAAGATTTTTTTTAATATTAAGTAGATTTATTGAGCTGATAAGACATGGTTACATGGATTCAGCATAATGCGTTTTTAAACAAAATGTATAATAGGTTTGTTAAATTATAAGATGACTGACATTGTGTTTGTAGTAGCCCAGGAGCAAAATCATACACCCAGCACTGGACTACTGAACAGTGAAAATCAAATGAATAAATGACTAGGTGAAAGCAAGAGGGAGGATTGGGACAGGAGTTATGAAAGGTAGAGAAGGGGGATTCTGAAAACAGTGAGCATGATGGGAGAGCAGGTATGTTGTCATTTACAATTGTATAAAAACTAGTTTTGGTAGTGGGAGGGGTCTGAAAACATTTTCCCCAAATCTTTTCTTCAACAAACTTAAGAATGAGAGACAAGGCCATGTCATGACATAAATCAGCAGATATTTTGACAACACCATAAATTAAAAATGGAGGAAAATGGAGTGAAACATGTCTAATGTGTTATTATATCACTTTACTGGCAGTTATACCATGGAGGTGTAAGAGAATACCTGTGCCAGTCATCTTTACGGACTTAGACATTCAGCAATGTTACACTAGAATGCCAATGAGAACTTTGTAATGGGCGGAACACAGATGCACTGCCAGTCACTGTCTCCTAAACAATCAAAACGTTTCACAGCAAAACACAATTCTTTGACTCCTGTTATGTTCCCACTTCTCTTCATGTCCTGCTGGAAACTGACAACAAAACCATCACTATATTTGAATGTAAGGAAAAGGGGTTCTAAAATACACCATTGGCATCCACCAAGTTGGGGAATTCAGGGAGAATAAACTGAAAAGAAACTCTCCAAAAAAAACAGAAGGGAGGGAACTTTCCCTCAGAACCCCATCACTCAGGGTTCTCAAGAACTTAAGATACCTCCTGTCAGGGTTGTCTTGTACAAATTAAAACAAAAATAATCCCACTTTGGGGCAATTCCTTGAAGAACTTAAATTAATATGAGATAAAACAAAAGAAACTGACCCAAGTCTCAATTTACTTGGTCAGACTAACTGTACAAACCTTTACCAGGAGCCAGGCTCCCACCCTAACTAAGTTGGGACTTAACTAAACCAGACCTTACCAGGAGCAGAGCTCCCACCCTAACCTTTTCAGTTCCCAACTGAGTTACTATGGCACCCTGGCCTGTATATAAACCCTGTACCTGATTAGCCACAGGTGGCCCAATTCACACAGGCCCCGCATGTCAATCAAGGTGCTCCACCCACTAGCACCCGCACAAAAACCAGACATGGAGTGTGTGCAATGAAAAACCACTACTTCACTCTGCAGTGGTCTCACCAATGAGTGAGCTACACCAAGGAATTATATCACACCAGATGCCAGGCACAACACAGTGGCTCACTGTGTTAGGACATGGTGCTAAAAACTCTAAGGTTGTGGGTTCAAACCCACATGTGGCATTCTACTGTCTCTGTCTACCATCACTTTTTAGTGCCTCACATATTTAAAATTGAGCACATTACTCCAAGAGTTGTATTTCAAGTAATACCACCTAGAGTCGAGACAAATGTTATTTTAAGATCTTAATCTCAGTAAGCACAAATCACATTGATGTAAAATTGGGTATTTGCTACCTTAGGATTATACTGTAACTGCAAAAGGCAAAGTTGGTCATGTGTAAAAGATTGGTTCAGTCATAATATGCTCAGAAGTCGCTGAAAGTAAAGTCAGTCTGCAAACTTTGGAGGAATAGACAATGAGAAAGGGGTGGAAGAGACTGAGGTAAGTGACGAGATACACATATTGCAATTTAAATGACATTCATTCTGGTCAAACTGAGCACTGAATGTGCTGCTTCCAGAGAAAATGCAGCTGGTTTGACAGATGATAAAAGACGTATTTCTCCAAAATATGAATCCGTCAGGCTACATTTTGACAGGAAGTGGGTTGTTATAAATGTAATGGCTCGTTAGCAGGTAATATGAGCAGAATGGTTGGGACCCACAGGCTAAGTGCATTGTGGACGTGTGGGAGGTAGAGGAGCACTTCAGTTGCCTCCTATCAACATAAATACAAATTTACGCAAGCTTCTACAAAACCTGTCTTCAATTTGAAATCCTTCTCGTTTTTTTCCCATTGGGCAGCAGATTGAAGCCAATAATTGTAGTCTAAACCTTAATGTTTCATGATTTTTCTGTATGTGTGTTCCTCAATGTATTGAAGTGTGCCATGACAGCAAAAGCTATTGGATATAATTTCATTTCACTCACTGTCATGGGCATTTCTTTAGGGGTAGAAGACCAATATTTATTCATGAGATCAAACTTTAAAGTCTATCTCACATACCTGTAATGTTGGAAGACATTCTGGAAAAACAGGAAGCAGATGCTAAAAGGCTTAATGGGGTTAATGTTCCATCGCTGTAATCAGCTGTAGGATGGATGGTTAACTATGGTCTTCAGACTGGCTTTCTGAAGCATTTTGCTGGTGAAAAGAGACATCTATTTACAAAGCGTGCTTCCCTTTTGTCTGTTCAATCAGAGAGCTCTGGAAGAATCGAAACAGCGTTGAAGTTGCTCAGCGGTTTCGGTCCAATGCATTAGTCTGATATATGGCTTTGCTGTAAACAGCAGTCTTTTCAACATGGCTTCTCAACACGGAAGTCGCTTCATTTGTTCCATATGACTCCTACGCTGAAATGATTTCTCTGAAACAAACCTTTTCAGCTTGCTGCTGTTACAGTCATCCATTCACTTTTGACACTAAAATCTGTAAATGTTTCCATGAAATCCTAGATTGAATCTTAAACAAAAGATCAGGTTGGCCAATACACCCAGTTATACATTGGTGTGCACTGGCCTTGGTCACGGAGTCACAGACAGGGTCACATAGGTGTAGATTGTTCTGTAGTGGTATGTATTTTGGTTTTAGAAACTACGCAGTTAAGTGTGTTTATGTATCTGTCCGTGAACTTTGACTAACCTCCACTGTCCCAATGCAGTTTCTCCTGGTTTGGCATATATTGTCATGATTTTTAACAATACTTTTTGATTTTGCTGTTCCGATGACAGACAAACCATAAAAGCAAAAGGGATGCTCAACCTGTATTACATTGCTGGTATTAAACTGGTATCCATTTTTGAGAAGGATTTCTCATAAACAGTCTTGTAGTACCACAGCGGTCCACATCTATTGAGTTTCCCTGCTTTAGCACATTAAAATTAAACTCATAATCGAAATGTCAACATCCATTCAAGGAAGGGTTTCATAGATGTTTCTAATTAAGTGAGATGGAGATGGCTGATGAACTTGCAATTCAGAGACCAACTATTTGACCTCTCTCAAAATCTGTCAGATGTTAATTATAAACTCACATATTAAAATATTAATTTTAGAACGTCTTTTTTTAGCTGAAAAACAGCTGGATTTAATTCGTAATTAACATGAGACACATGTAGACTCTCTTTTAATTATGATCTTAATTATGATAACTTCAAACTTATTATTTTGTCTACCCCTGAACTTTCCTTCTGTTAAATTATGCTGGGAAAGACATAAACCACGAAATAAACCAAAAGTTACGTGTTCAAACACAGGGTGTGCGCTTTATTTACAATGTGTACTGTACAGGGGTATTTACACGGAGGGGGTCGTAACAAGATACACGCTTGTTACGACCCGAAAGTCCAACAGTGTTTTAATAACAGACAGGACTATGGTGGTTGTAACACTAAACCAGTTCAACCAGCACAACACATCCAAAAGACTAACCATTTAGAACGAGCAGTTTTTATAAAAAGTAAAGGTGCGTCTATTGTTTACAGATTGATTATGTTAATATGAATTATATTTACAACTATACATTTATTCTCAGACAGAAAGCATCTCACAGGGTAACCAGAATCAAGATGTGGTATCACTGTCGGTTTCCCCTCCTCCAAATTCCCACAGGATTATTGAAGTCCAGTGGGAAGCTTGTTCTTCAATGGTGTTCCTTGGCGCAATGCTCTCAAAGGCAAAGATAATAAATGAGCCATGAGATCTTCCAAAATCTTCCAAAAGCCGAGCACACTGCTGCGGATCATTTCGCAGCACCAGGCCATCATCAGCACCACTGATATTGGGCATATTAACCATGGCGGCTGTGGCTACAGAGGAGACAGTGGGCCTTGCCATCTCATCACATACCACCTCGGAAAGTTCTCTTGAGTGACATGGCTTCAGCATGTTTATTTGGCAAACATGGGACTGGCAAACAGTAATAACCAACTCCATTTGTCCTAGTTTCCGGGACTAAGCCTGCATAACCGCACATGCCGGGAAACAGGACATGCTCAGGGAGCAAGAACAACTGGTATGTCCAAAACCTGTAAGACTGGCATTTCCACCAGCCATATCAGACAGAATAAAAGGTTCATAGCTGGGATCAGGATGCCATGAGACAGTGGCTACAGTCTCAGGCTGAGCAGGTAGCGTTTTAATGAGCCCCACAGGCTTTGACTGCTTTGAACTGTCAGGTTGCTCTTGCGTCTTACATTTTAGAGCTAAGCAATCAGCAATCTCATGACCCACCTTGTAACAGAAAAACATCTCACGGTTTTCTGTAGTAGGGGTAGGAAAGTAGGTAGCAAGGCTGAGGCTGAGCACCTGACATAGCTGACCCTGTGCTTTTCTCACTACGACTATGCGAAAAAACATTTTTATGTGTCAGGACAAAGTCATTGGCAAAAATAGCCACATGTGACAATGAAGACACCTTTTGTTCATTCAAGTACAACACCATTCTCTCTGGTAACCAGTTCCTGAACTCCTCTAACAAGACCATTTCCCGAAGATATTCAAAGTCACTAACTTTACTCGCTGCACACCACATATCAAACCAGAGCGATTTGCTTGCTCGCATCAAATGCCAGTGAGGAGGAGGATTAAGAGGGAGTACCAAGCAGAGCCAACAGAGGTAACTGCACAACCTTTAAGGCCTCCAGCTCTATTTGGTTCGGTCAAACTTCTTTGTCAGCCTCCAGCTCCAGCTTGCACATCTCAAGCCTCAGGTTCATTTCTGCCTGACGGTCTCCCGCCTTCTCCTGCGCCTCCATCTGGAAACGTGCCGATCGCACCTTTAATTTGGGCTCCACCGGCTTCACCGGACCCACACAACGAAGGAGAGAGTGGATCAAAACACAGCAAAGTGGCCGGGAGCTTACCTTGACCTCCGTCAGAGGCGTTCTCTGGACCAGCCCGCACTGGCTCCAAGTCCCGCTGAGCAGACACATGTGCGTCGGCGTCGGGTGTGCAGGCTCCATCAGCAAAAGAGCCAGTCAAGACAGGTGACCCCAGGGCGCCCAACTCCACCAACCTTTCCAACACCATAGGCTTAATGTCCCTCTTAGTCATGGCCCTTGACGGAGGAACTCCAAAATGTTCTGCAATGCTTAATATATCATCCATCCTGCACCTATCGCACTGTTCCAGAGACGGCCGTTCCAAAAAAAATCACGCAAGTCAAAATGAGCCATAGTAACACATAGCAACACAGTGCACCCCAAGGAAAACAAAGCAATCGAGTCTCATCTTTCATAGTCAAGGCACCCAAGTTATGTCACGTCCCTGAGGTGTCTAGGGGTATATGGGGTAGCGGACCGAGAGTGGATTGGATGATGAGGACACACAGTAACCAGAGGTGGATCAATTGTAGATGAACACCTAATATGAATGACAGGTGGGAAAAAGAAAAAAAACAACAAAAAGAAGGGAAAGAAACACAAATAACACAAAAGTACCATCGTTGTATCACTCTGCACTGCATTTAAGTCATTATAAAGTCATGTGTGAGAGTTTAATAGCTCAGATCAATGGCTGTGATGATAATTAATGGTTTTTTTTTTTTTTCAAATGTTACTAGAAGATATAGAGGGCATGAGTGTACAGCTGAGTCTTGTTCTGTCTGTTACTTCTACCTCTTATTTTTTGCTGCTTGGAATGTGAATTTATCATCTGAAAATTTCCTATTTCTCCAAATGCTACTGTAATAAATGTCAGTGGTTTTGTCACAAAAATGAACTGGTAAAAATTATGTATGCTATGTATTTCTCATAATCCTTCAAAGAAAATTGCCTCAGTCCTACAGATCAATATCAGACCAAATGGAGACAGCCCTAAGCTCCAGCAATATATTTGGGTTATTTGTAATTGCTTAAATATCCCTTCAGAGAGTTGGAGTCTATTTACCATTGTCTGCTGGGACAAGAATACAGACTCATAATTCTCAGCGATACAAATGGTATAAATGTATATTTAGTTCTCCCTTTGAAATATTTACAATTCATTCCTAAATGTTTTTCTTCTTATCTGGAAGTAATATACAATTTATTTAATAACCTATTGAAAATATATTACATCTGTTATTGTAATGGCATTATTAAGTGGGTTTGCGTGCCTTTGGCTTGGAAAAGTTCAGAGG